GGGTCTTCAAAGGCATTGCCTACTACCCTAAATATACTGAACTACTGAACTACTGAACTATATGTATGCTCGGACGATTAACTAGGATAGGCATGAAAGTATCTCCTTGTGATATTAAAAAAATGCGTGTTTCGGGTTATGATGGGGTTGTCAGTTCGCTTGAATTTATTCATGTGCATGAAAACGGCCGCTCTGAAGTCTTTGAGAATGCATCCTCTTCAGCACATCTCTGGGAACAGCGAGGTAAGGTTTTCAATGAACTCTAGGCCATGGTACTTGTAAACATTGACTTTCCGTGTTTTCTCACTGGGCTGCTGGTGCACTGCCTCGAATATTTGTTTCAAGGAAGGCGGACGATCGGTATCGTTCATCCGAGAAAGTGTGTTGATGCATTCATTATAGATTGCGAATTGGTGGTTGAGGATGGCTTGTATGTGCGCGGCCCAGCGCCCTAGGGTCTAAGACCTTTCCGTTTGGAGGGTTCAACTATTCCGTCACCCATTCTTTCGATAAGCGCGAAATATTCTTCATCTAGCTGCGGCCGGCATGACGCTTGGATTTCCTCAGTCAGACGTTCTGCCCCTCAATCCATCTCTGCTGTACTAGGCTTAGATGCTGAAAGTACGTGAATTGTTGCCGCTGTCGGTAGTTTGTGATTATGGGTGTTAAGTGTCCCAATTGCTTCGTCGTTGCAATAAGACTTAGCCGAGTCCGCCTCCTGCCATCCTGCCTTGTAGCGGGATGTTGCTGAGATAAAAGAAAAAGATGCTGCGCAATTATCTACTAACACCATGAATTACCTCACGCGCAAGTCCTTGTTTTGCACTCATCGTGCTGTTAGATAGACCGTGGACGTCATCAAATTCGGCAGTCGAACTGGTGCCCTCACACTAGTCCACGCCCTATCGATGAGTGCCAATGGTGACCTCAATTGCCATAGTGTGTATGGTATCCCGCAGCCCCAGTCACCAGATCTCGATATCGGTATGCACCTATATTTTTGAATCTCTTCTCATCTGAAGTTCACGTAGCTGGCGAAATTCAGTTTCTGCACAGTCTCATTAAGAAACACAGTGTTTAGGTTACTTGATGTATGATTACCTTGTGATGGCCTGCACGCTTACAGTTGCAGCCTAATGTTCCAGATGGAAAGGCGGCTGTCCGTTCAGCACCCTTCATCGCACATCGCCCTAGGCAGTAGCGCACCCTGCTAGTCACGCCTATGAACTAGGACGTATGTAATAGTTAAGCCGATGCATGTGGTGTGAACGAGGATGCAGCCATGTTGTCTTCACTCTCATTGGGAGCCGAGAGGTGTTTTTTTTGTTTTTCAATCTATGACCATGTCCACTCAGGTCTGCAGTATGTGAAGATAACTGCATCGTCGGTCTAGCACATCATACCAGGCAGCGTGATGTCTGTTTTCGTTGGCATTGGCATCACCTGCAACAATTAGTTGGTCTGAACCCGTGCAGGTCTTCGTAAAACTTGCTCTTTGGGGGAGGTATTGGCAAAGGTTCCTTGTAAGTAACACGAAAGTACCAAAAAGCCCAAAGTTTCTGGCTAACGGGAAAGGTAGTACTAGAGTTTTTATGGATAGAGGACAGAAAAAGTAATTATGAAAGGAGAGCGTTTAAAAGAATAACATAATAGGATACATTATTTAAATACCCTAAGGTTTGGCAACAAACGCGATAATTAAAATGAGAAATAAAACAGGTAGGAAACGAAAAACCCGCAAATTACGGAACCATGCAAATATATGTGAATTTTCGAGATCAAAGTAAAATCATGAAAAAAGGTTTTTTTCCTCATATTTAAGCCGAAAAGCAATCGCATGTTGCTAACAAAACAAAACTAAACTAACAAAACTAGATTAAAGTAAATTTCTTCCGGGAAAACAATGTTTCAATTAACTGAACTAAGGAAGATCAAAGTAAACTAAGTCTACGTAACTTCAAACTAATTTAAACTAAAATTAAACTAATAAATTAAAAACCAAACCAAAACTAAACTAAACAAAAAACCAAAGTAAGTTGACTAATTGGGATAAACTTAAGTAAACTAAGTTGAAAAATTAACCAAACCTGATAAAACTAAATGATAAACTAAACTAAAAGCAAACAAAAAGTAAACTACACTGACTGATCTAAAAAATAAATATGAACTAATAAAACTAAAAGTAACCGCAGAACGCTAAGGATTTTCGTGTTGGAATGTTAAATGCTGAATATTGACACACGAAAAGTCGTAGAAACATAAACATAGTGGCTGCAATCTACGAATATATGACATAGTTAAACAAAACAGGTTTATTAGAACGAAATAAATGGGTCATTGTGTGTAGTAAACTACACTGTGTTGCATATAAGGAATCTTTACTGAGATATTATTTCGACGATGGTGGGAACTTCCTAAAGATTGGCAGTCCATGGTCATGAGACGATTGCTACTATGATGCAGCAGACAGGAAAGCCATCAACCGGCGTTGTTCTTGATGACGAAATTGTCGCGGACAGCTCTAACCTAGGCAGCCCCCACCCCAGAAAAGTTCATGCGACATCCATTTTCGCAGATGTTCTTGTCCAGCGTAACGGGCCCACCATGAGTTGCAATGCGTACTTTGTAATAGGCCATTTCCCAGGTAATATAAGCTGTTCTTCTTCCTCCGTCAGTTATCTGGCCGCTTCATTTTCTAAGAACGAAAAGCTCGGGCTGCCCAGTGTCGCTCTGACTGCTATATCAAATGTATGTGTGATGCAGGCTAGGTGGTGGCTTTGTGCCACGCCATCAACTGTGCCCAATAAAATCATCTTTTTAGAACACACAGGTGTGTGTGTGTTAGTTCGACCATTGCAAGCGAAGATATCCACCACTTGCCCGAGAGCAGGGACGGTGACTGTGGTCAGGTATAGTGAAAGTAGACGGGCGCCACTTACCCCACTTTAAACCTTCTCACCTGCATCAAACGGTGACAAGACAAAGTCGAGATGACCCAGCAGGGAGAAGGCGTAGGCTGCAGTCAGAAACACCGCCTAACTTATTATTTAGTGATAGTAGACTTCGCGTGGGTACTACTGCACTGCCTACCCTTACTCATCTATAGTAGGTGTCTAGCCAGACTTTGTTCAGCCAGGACTGATACTGCTACTACGACTTCCGCTATTTCTAATACTACTAACTAGGGGTATAGCTGGGTGATAGTGTTTGCTGATACTTTTACTAACTGTTTTGTAGGTCAGAAGTGACGCTGATTAAAGTCAGCACTGGGCTCATATCCCTTAAATCTCTACAAGAAGTGTTGTAGTACCGATGCTAGCACTGACGTCACCATTTGACAGAGGTGACGCTGACTAAGCCAAAGCTAGGGCTCATATTCCCTTGGTGTCAACGAGGAATGTGAATCTGGGTTTAACTATTTCGGCTTAGTACATGCTTGAGGTCTTGAGCAAAGCTGCGTTTGCCTTGGTTTCCGTACTCTCAACTCGATCCATCGAGCTGTACGGACTAAGATGATGCTGATATAGCTACGTGCCTATGCTAGAACTGCTAATTCTAGTAAGCATGCTTACTAAGGCCAGTACTTAGTATACTTTAAGTACTGCCTGTGCATGTTTTAAGGAGCCGCACCCGTTATGCACTCCTAATCTGTGTGAGGTAGTAGTGGTTAGCATTTGGATAACAATAGAGCGTTCGTAGAGTAGTGCACAAGTCCTAAAATGCCTTTTCGTCGAGCATTTTGCCGTCTATAGACTACGTTTAGGCCTAATACAGTGCATGTCTGTAGTCGTACGACAATACAGTATCAGGTAGGTATAGCAGGACAGTCTAAGTCAGTGCAACAGGAAAAGGGCAATTTCAGTGTGCTGGTAATATTAGTGATAATGGTGATATTAGCACATCAGGGTTCTCCTTGCTTTCTGCCCTCGCAACTCTATCCACCAAGTTGTGTCATCTTATTGGTTGACTAAAAGTTATTAAGTAATAGCTCAAGTTTTACCATGTCTTTATGTTGCATGGTGCCATTTACCGTTAACAGGCTAACCTTTTG